CGGGAGGGCAGCCTTGCTCCTGTCTGGTCCTCTCTCGACCCGGCTGGGTGCTCTCCTGTGGCTGACTCCGGGGCAACCGTCACTTCACAACTTCGTTATTTTATTCATTAAGCAATAAATACATGCAACTGTAGGAGGGAAATTAGAAAATTCAAATAAAAAACATCCACATATAATAATCTTTTTGCGAAACCCAATTTCCTCATCCCCTCCCATGTCATTAAATAAATATCACAATTGTTCATGAAAAGGCATTGACCCAACATCTACTTCACTGTTCTCCTAAAGTCGGGATTGGGGCTCTTCTGAAATGGCCTCATTTACTCCACTCCCACGTAGACCAGATCATCTCCAAAGAGCTGTTGGGTGTGTGTGTGTGTGTGGGGGGGTGTCCCCATTTCATGACCAAGAGCGTTCTCCTTCCCTGAATCCTCATGTCTCATCCCAAAGCATTGCCAACTCTGCCCCGGGGGCTGGCCAGGAGGCTGCTAACCCACCTGCGACCTAGGTGAGACCATTTGGTTGGGGTCATACAGATTGGGGATCCCTGATTCTGTGGGGGTTGCTGGCCAAGGTCAGGGGCTCTTGTGAGAGACAGGAAGGGGCTCTGTCACCTCTTTCTTGCCGATGTCACCTCCTCTTCCCTTATAACAAGAGGAGCTGATGGCTCGGCCTCGTTTCGCAGCTTGAAAATCCCTTTCCCTCTCTGAGACTGAAGGGTGAGGTGGGGTGGCGAGCTGGAAGGAGAAGCCACGTGGGAGAATACTGAGTGGCTCTGGTTGGGGAGGGCTTGAGAGGAAGGATCACTGTCCTGGGGGACGTCCTCCTCCTGCGGGCCGGGGCCCAGGCCCTGCACCCCAGTCCTGCTGTCTCGCCCCAGGGGCCCTCAGTCCTCCCATCCCAACCACTTCCCAGGGCCAGAGGCAGCCCAGGTGTGGGGAGGAGATTCTGAGGCCCACGCCTCCCAGAGTTCCCAGGGACTTGGGGTCCTCCAGGGCTCTCAGAGGCAGGGTCTCACCCTAGGGCCTGGGGACCTCACCCTGGGCTGCCCTGGCCCCCAGGGGCTGTGCCTGTGCCTCCTCCCTCCTCCCCACCCAGCTGCAGAGACTTCGAAGAGGCTTTCCCCAACCACGCCAGCCCACACCGTTCTCCCCGCCACAAGTTCTAGAAACTTCTGTCCTTCACACGCGCTTGGCGATAC